TATGCAGTTGCTAGAAATGAGTGCTATCAGGGCGTTAGACCTCCCCCCAGACTTAAACTTGACACCGTCCGTGGTGTCAGTCTAACCTGGTGAGGTACGAACAAAAATAATAGACAGTAAAGTAATCGGGAAATAATAATGTAAAAGAAGGGAAAGAAGGCTTAGCTCGATTGAGCTCATATGTAGATCATCTCTCCTTTTCTGTGTAAGTGCGTATTGTCCCTTGTACTTTGTGTTGTTCCTTGTTAAGTAATCTCAAAACCAGCAATGTGATTAGAATGCATTTGAATTATTGATTTTCTTATTACTAGGTTGCCTCCTAGCCAGCGTTATTTTAAAGTCTTCAGCTAGACTTTATTTGGCTAATTGTCTAAGGGATCTTGGAGCAACCAGGTGCTTCCAGGGTCGGGATAATCGTTCGCATTGTAAATTTTTAGGCGCTGTGCATTTACTTTGAATGGTTGGCCTAACTTTCTCACAATCTCGATTACTCCATGTGGGGATACATGAGTGACAGTGAATTGTCCTTACCACCACGACTTAAGCTTTCCCAGAAATATCTTCATTCGTGAGTTAAATACTAACACTTTATCATTTGCTTGAAATTTCCGGTGGAGAATTCTTTTATCGTGCCATCTCTTCGCTCACTCCTTATAGATTTTTGCATTTTCGTATGCATCGAGGCGTATTTCATCAAGGTGATGCAGTTGTAGGTTTCTCCTCTCTGCTGCAGACTTTCAGTCGTAGTTCAATTTCTTTATTGCCTAGAACGCTCTATGTTCAACTGGTAGATGGCAGACTTTTCCGTATACCATTTGGAAGGGGGTCATTCCAATCGGCGTTTTAAATGCTGTTTTATAAGCCCATACCGCGTCATCTAGTTTTTGTGACCAATCTTTTCGAGAGATAGAGACGGTTTTCTCATGAATTATCTTTATTTCTCTATTTGATATTTCTGCTTGTCCGTTCGTTTGGGGGTGATATGTTGTTGTTATCCGATGGTGAACACCGTATTTCTTAAGCAATGATGCGATCGTCCTGTTTACAAAGTGTGTTCCCCCATCGCTTATGACTACTCGTGGGACTCCAAATCTAGGGAAAATAATTCGTTTAAACATTTTCATCACTGTTTTGGAGTCATTCCAGGGCTAGCAAGTACTTCAACCCACTTTGTAACGTAGTCTACTGCCACGAGGATATACAATGTTCCCATGTGAAGAAGGAAATGACCCCATGAAATCGATGCCCCAAACATCAAATGGTTCTATTTCCAGGATGTAGTTTTGTGGTGCTTCATGGCGCCTCGAAATGTTCCCCGTTCTTTGGCAAGAATCACAGGTGCTAACGAACCGGTAGATATCTTTAAACATCGTTGGCCAGTAAAAACTTGCTTGCAAGACTTTTGCCGCTGTTTTTGAGGCAGCGAAATGTTCTCCATAATTCGACGAATGACAGTGGTGGATCACCTGATCTATTTCCTCTGTAGGAATACATCGCCTGAATAGCCCGTCTGTCCCCCTTTTGAACAGATATGGTTCATCCCAGAAGTAGTTCCGAGTTTTTTTCATGAACTTTGTAACGACCCGAGACCGCTACGGAATGATAGAACTGTCCCTACACAGCAACACAAGACCTTTCAACGTGTTTTGTCCTCACTCGCACGCATACCGAGACACTTCCCAGTAGATCACCCATCCTGAGATTGCTCCAGAGCCAACACACTTAACTTTGGAGTTCTCTCATGATAGTCAACCAAAAAGGTAGGCGCACCTTGTTGCTATGAGTAGCCCAACTAATTCTTTTATGTTATCTTAGACCATAGGATCTCTCTCATTTTGGTGTGTTTGATTCATCCTTATACCCCCTACCCAGAAGCTCGTCAGGAGCCGCCCCTTGTCGGTGCCTCTGCACCGGCGATCACTCCCGCCCTCCTACGGTATTTGGGCTGTCACAAACTTCTTCTTACCATTGTCACTACTAGAAAACAGCAAAAGGGTGACGCAACTTTTGCGTCACCCTTTTATATTTTTGCGTCACCCTTTTCAAAAGGTGACGCAATAGTGACGCAACCAAAAGCGTCACCATTCATACCGTCACCAATTCAGATTTCGTCACCAAGCGTCACCAAAGGGTGACGCAATAGTGACAATTTTTGCGTCACTAAATAGTGGCGCAATTGCGTCACCTTTTAGCGTCACCTTTTGGTGACACAATTGCGTCACTATTTAGTGACTCAAAAAGGTGACGCAATTATTGCGTCACTAAAACGTATTTTGGATTCAAAAATAATTTTTTTTATTCCCGAATCTAACCCTATACCCTATTCCCGACCTCTAACCTCCAACCGCGATCTTAAGCCGAATCAGAAACTCTGAGATTGAATCCTCGAAATCCACTTCCCAGGAGGTCACCCATCCTTCCACTGCTCCAGTTCAAGCACGCTTAACTTTAGAGTTCCAATTGACAATCAACCTACTGATCCAAGTTAAACTTCTGATATATTACTATATTAATACATATACAAATATTTATACTTACAAATATATATATATACGTATATATTTGTACGTATATATACATACATAAAATATATATTTATATACATAACATATGTTTGTATGTATAAATATATGCAAAATACACATTTATATATAAAATACTCGTATATTTGTATATACAAATACACATATATATAATATATACGTATATATAAAATTTATGTTTTATATATATTCGTATATTTATACATACAAATATATATATATATATATAATATACGTATATATAAAATTTATATTTATATAGAAATATTTATATATTTATACGTAAAATATATACATATATATATATATGTATGTATTTGTACGTATAAATAATAAAATACAGATATATAGTGACGCAATTGCGTCACTAAAAGGTGACTAAATTGCGTCACTAAAAGGTGACTAAATTGCGTCACCAAAGGGTGACGCAACTATTTGCGTCACTCTTGCGTCACCTTTTTTCGTGACGTAAATTTTGCGTTATTTTTTGCGTCACCATTTAGTGACGCAACTATTTGCGTCACTATTGCGTCACTATTTAGTGACGCTTTAGTGACGAAAATATTGCGTCACTATTTGCGTCACTTTTGCGTCACCATTTTAGTGACGCAAATTTTGCGTCACCTTTTGCGTCACCTTTTCCGTGTTTTCTAGTAGTGTGTAGTTCAGATCGGAAGGGAGAATATTAGCTGCCAAGTAGTTAACTATATCAGCGTACCAAGGTATGCCATCTTTCTTAACGACTGCAAAAATGTGATCATCTCTTGGTGTCGTCGATAGGGATGTCGTGTTCTGTCACTATCCTGGATAGGTGATCGGCGACACCGTTTTCGGTCCCCCTCCTGTCCTTGATTTCCAAATCAAATTCTTGTAGGAGGAGGATCCATCTGATGAGGTGCGATTTTGCGTCTTTCTTTGACAGCAAATATCTTAAGGCTGCATGGTCTGTGCATACTATTACTTTGGAGCCCACAAGATAAGATCTGAATTTCTCAAAGGCAAAAACTACCGCCAATAATTCTTTCTCTGTGGTGGTATAGTTAACTTGAGCCTCATCTAGCGTCTTGCTAGCATAATATATGGCGTGTAGTTTCTTATCCTTGCGTTGCCCTGACACGACTCCTATGACGACATCACTAGCATCACACATTAGTTCGAAGGGTTGGCTCCAATCCGAAGGTTGGATCACTGGAGGTGAGATTAGAGCTTTTTTCAACTTTTTGAATTCTTGGTGACATTCAGCTGAGAAGTGGAATGCGGTGTCCTTGCACAATAGCTCGGTAAGGGGCTTTGAGATCTTAGAAAAATCTTTAATAAATCTATGATAGAATCCTGCGTGGCTCAAAAAGCTCCGGATTGCTTTGACATTGTGAGGGGGTGGTAGTTTCTCGATTACCTCGATTTTGGCTTTGTCTATCTCTATCCCTTTTGATGATACCTTGTGTCCTAGCACGATACCTTCTTGTACCATGAAATGACACTTTTTTCTATTGAGTACCAGGTTTGCTCGTACGCATCGATCCAAAACTTTTTGGAGGTTTGCCAGGCACAAGTCTAAACAGGGCTCGTGAACGGAAAAATCATCCATGAATACTTCCATCACGTCTTCTATGATGTCAGAGAATATTGCCATCATGCATCGCTGGAAAGTACTGGGTGCGTTGCAGAGGCCGAATGGCATTCTGCGATACGTAAATGTCCCGCACGGGCATGTGAATGTCGTCTTTTCTTGATCTTGCGGATGAATCGGAATTTGGAAGAATCCCAAAAATCCATCGAGGAAACAGAAATACGAATGTAGGGCCAGCCTTTCCAACATCTGATCAATGAACGGAAGTGGAAAGTGATCCTTCCGAGTGTTGGTGTTCAATTTCCTATAATCGATGCACATACGCCATCCAGTGACGGTTCATGTCGGTATTAATTCATGTTTTTCATTCGTGATCACTGTCATTCCTCCTTTTTTAGGTACCACATGCACTGGGCTCACCCATGAGCTATCCGGGATAGGATAAATGATACCGACATCCAACAATTTCAGTACCTCCTTTTTAACTACTTCCTTCATCGCAAGGTTAAGTCTACGTTGGTGTTCTATTGAGGACATGTCTTCATTTTCTAAGTGGATGCGGTGCATACATAATGATGGATCTATCCCTTTTATATCATCTAGAGTGTATCCTATTGCTCTTTTGTATTGTCTGAGTAAGTTTAGCAATTTCGCGATTTGACCTTCCGTCAGGGTGCTATTGATTATAATTGGATAGGTTTCCTCTTCCCCTAGAAATACGTATTTCAATCCGGAAGGCAAGGGTTTCATTTCGACATTAGGAGCTGATTTTGCATCCCAATCATTCGTTCCCCTTGTTCTCGTTAGGTTGGAACTTTCGTCGAACTCGAGTTTGTTCGGCGGTGGGTAACGGTCTTTTAGACTCCCGTCACTATTTTGGACATGTTCTACTCTGCAGAGGGCTTCAACAGGTACTGATGTAGTTGGATGTTGGCTTCGACCTCCGCGCCACTATTTAGTGCTCGAAGATATTCGTTTACCTCTTCATTGTCCACATATCCATCTCCCCTTGTAGCTTCCAAAGCTACTTCCAAGGGATCAAGATCGCGAAACTCCTCCAAGAATTCATCTGCTAGAGCATCCAACGCATCGATGTAACAAGCGGAGTCTACAGACATTGGTTGCTTAAGGTTCTTATCTAGTGTGAACTCGATTGTTTCACCTCCGATCTTTAAGGTGAGTCTTCCTGCTCTTACATGCACAATTGCATCTGCTATGTTTAAGAAGGGTCGACCGAGGATTATAGGTATTCTCGTGTCTTCATTCATGTCCATCACAACAAAATCTACCGGCACATAGAAGTCACCTACTTTTAAAGGCACATCTTCTAGTATCCCGAGGGGGTATTTAATTGATCGATCCGTTAACTGTAGCGTCATCCTTGTTGGTTTAAGTTCCCCTACGTTTAGCTTCTTGTAGATCGAAAAAGAGGTAACATGCTAACACTCGCACCTAGGTCACATAATGCCCTGTCTATTGTTACATTGCCTAGCTTGCATGGAATTGAGAAGCTCCCTGGATCGGTCATCTTAGGGGGTAGTTCATGCTTCAGAATGGCACTGCCTTCTAGACTGAAGGTCACTGTTTCCGTTTCAATTGTTCTCTTCTTTGCCAGAATATCCTTTAGGAATTTAGCATAGGAAGGCATTTGAGTGATGACTTCATGGAACGGTATAGTAACCTCCATTTTTTTCATCATTTCTACAAATTTCGCAAACTGACTCTCCTCGTTAGAATTTTTCAGCCGTTCTGGATACAGTATACGAGGTGGCTTTGCGGCGGGGGGGTATATAAGCGGATATCCCCTAATTTTGGTTTTCAGGATGAGACGGTATTTCTGGGGTTGTAGCATCGTCAACTCCGGCGTCCTTGGAGTTGGAATATTCGCCAATCTCTACTCCGCCCCTTTTTCGTTCCTCTAATTGTCTGCCACTCCTTAGTGCTAGCGTGGCATTGTTCTTCGGCTATCACTACAAGAAAAACTGTAATTTGCGACAGAAAAATCTGTCGCAACATGAAGAAGAATATGTCGGTAAAAAAAATTTGCGACAGATTACGACCGATGATTATCGGTCGCTAAATCGTTGTCGCAAAATCTGTGTAGTCGTGATTCTGTCGTAACTTTGCGACAGACAGATCTGTAGGTAGTCGGTCGCACATATACGACAGATGGCTATATGTCGGTAATCTGTCGCAAATCGGTGAATCCAGATCTATCGCATATTGCGACAGAAATAGGAGTAGGTATTCGGTCGCAACATAACGATAAAATAAATCGGTCGCACTCTGTCGCAATATACCGACCAAATATATCGGTAGGTATTCGGTCGCAACATTACGACAAAATTAATCGGTCGCACTCTGTCGCAAATCTATTATATAATTTTTTTAAAAAAATATTAATAAATAATAATTATTTAAATTAAATTAAATTTTAAAAAATAATTTTAAAAATATAAAATAAAAAATATTTATTTAAAATTAAAAAGTATTTATTAAATAAAAAGTATTTATTAAAAACAAATTAAACACTAAACAAAAAAGTTATCCGGATTGTCTGATCCAGTTGTTTGGTCCGCCGGTGTCGTAGAAGGTCCGACTCCGGGTTGAGGAGTCATAAATGGGTTGAACGACATCTCTTGCGCCGTTGGTGGGTCGTCTCGAGGAGGAAATAGTCGGGCGAAAAGCGTCTCGTAACGCGCAATCCGTGCCTCAGCTTCTTCAAGTCTAGCAATCTTCCTGCGATCGTCCTCAAACTCTTGAATCTTTTTCTTCAACAGCTCGACCTCCTTAGTGAGTGAGACGTGGTGACCGATCGATGTTGCATCCGGATGACCACCACCCAACTGAGTCGCCATTGCACCGACACTGTATATACGTCCTTTGGCATCGGGTTGGACAACCTACGAAATCAAAAGTATACGTCAATTAAAATAATTTAATAAAAAAATAAAAAAAAATATAAATTTACCTCCAGATAGAGGCTGTTGATTTCTGCTGGTGAAAGTTGGGTCGATCCACAACTCTCCTCTAACTGGGAGAGACGATCGGTGATCTTTGCCTGAACCGCATCCTCGATTTCCTGAACGCGATCGCTGATATAAGTACCGTCAGCTCGATGGTGAGTCTCCTGCAGCAATCGGAACGCAGAAGGTTCTTCACCTTCCTTCTGCGTCTGCACCCAAAAAATTTAATTAAAAAAATTCAAAAAAATTTTAAAATAAATATTTATTTACTTACTATCTCATGGGCGACGTGTTTTCGGTCTTGATCTTCTTGAAAGATCGGAGGTAGCGACGTATTTTCCACAAGTTGTTCTTGCATTTGTGAAACACGTGATGATGACGACGTATCATACGTTTCTCCATGAGCCAGCCAAACATAATAGTTTGACATAAAACCTCTTCTATAAAGGTGCTTACACACTTCATACTGACTTCGCCATCTTTTATTCTCGCATTTTGAG